GTGCCCCTTGTTGAAGAAACTGGTCAGGCATCGGGTAGAATGTCTGAATGTCTGACATCCTGGATTTGTCTTACTGCTTCCTTGTCTTATTTAACTTGTGCCTCATTCTCCTTTATTTCCTATACACTGGAAGTTAAGTCTAAGGCTTAATTAATTTAGGTTCAGTTGTTTGGCAAGGGTACTTTCTGAACAGTGCTGTGTACTTCCTACAGCATCATATTAAGAGGCATGTAATAACTAGCTTTTCACTTTCCAGAGTGTGGTGGCAGTGGCAGCCAGGTCTTCACTGGAAAGTTTCCCATAGGCTTCTCTCCTAATAGTTTTCTCACCTACCAACTAATTTCTATCTGACTTAGTAATTTCATTCATGATTATAAAAGAATGACTTTTCTAATTGTATAATTTTTTCATATTTATTAGTGATTGTTCCTCTCTAAAGAACTTCGAGAGAGAGATAAATTAGGAGTTGGGATTAACAGATACACACTACTATATATAAAATAGATAAACAACAAGGACCTACTGTATAGCAGAGGAAACTATTCAACATCTTATAATAACCTGTAATGAAAAAGAATATAAATCTGTATGTATGTGTATAACTGAATCACTTTGCTGTACACCTGAAACTAACACAACATTGTAAATCAACTATACTTCAATAAAAATTAATTTAAAAAAAAGAACTTTCCCTTATCACATGAAAGCTATTTGGTTACCCTGAAATATAGTTCCTACAGGCTGGGCAAAATAAACATGCAATTCTTACATTTTAATTACCAATTTTCCTTATTACGAGATTGATTCAGAATCAGTAGGGAGAGAGGGATCTTTGTCTTTTCACTGATGTACCCCGAGTGTCTGGCACAGGTAGGTGTTCAATAAATATTTGTTGAATGAAATAATACGTGAATCATAAAAGTTCCCTACAGGAGGTGACAAAAATCCTATATAGTAGGTGGCTCAGGAAATCAAGTTTTAGTACAACCATGAGTCAGGATCCTGGGTCCTGTACTCAAGGAGTTTTTATAAGGGAAGCTAATAAGAATGTTTGTCCCTTGGTTAGTGCTGTTGGCCAGTACAGGTCCCACGATGCAAGAGCAGTGTTCTTTCCAGATCCCTCTGGGTCCCTGGGAGGAAGAAGAAACTGTAATAATGGCTAAGTTGGATTTCTCCCCAGCTTAGCAGGGCAGAAGATTCAGCAAGTCTTCACTTGCTATAGAATCGATAAGGTGATGTAAATTTGCTTGCCCAAGTTTGTAGAATAAGACCTATATCCGTTACGTGGCAAAATATTTGTTACTTACAATACTTCACTGATTTTTCAAAAGTGAATCAATGCTCAGGAAGGGTCCTTATTTGGTCCCAGGGTGCCTGATGTGAAGGTAGGGGGCACGGAGGGGCAGGTGGAATCCAGGAGACATGGAAGACCTGGCACCACGGAGAGGGGAGGCTCCCAGGACAGAGGTGGAGAGAGACGGGAGAGTTAAAAGGGAACTTTGGGGGGTTTTACAGTCGATGGAGATTTTAAACACTAGTTTTGCATTATTGTTTGTGTGACAACCTATACTGTATATCCAAGAGAGCTTCAGTGGTGTCTATTATTTGCTAAAACTTTGTGGAATTGGATTTGCTCGGGGACATCTGGCAAAGTGGTGAGCCCTCTCTTCTGTTTGTCTATTGCTGCGTTACAAATCAGCCCAAAATGGTGGATGACAACAATAGTGACTTTATTTGGTCCTGAATCTGGAGATGGACTGGGCGCAGCTAGGCAGTTCTTGCTTGAGTTCTCACACATGGTTTTATTCACAGGGATGGAAGCAGGAGAAGGAATTTGGGCATCTCTCTCCTTGTGGCCTTGCCCTGTGGTGGCCTCAGCACAGTCAGCCCTCTACATGGGGCCCAGAGCCACTGTCCTAGGAGAACCACAGCCTGTCTCAGAGGCCACACCACGCTGGATCAGGGAGGCAGGCACAGAAGCCTCCCAGGTTCTCAGGAGAGGACAGAGACTCTGCCTCTTGCTGGGGGAGTGGTAAGGTCCTGGAAGACACTGTGCGATGGAAGGTACTTTGTGGCCATTTGGGGGAAAATACAATCTGCTCCATGGCTTTATGGTGAGCGTGGCATTGGGCAGTTACAGAAGGTTGCAAGGGTAGCCAACCACATCCATAGGACGTGAGCAACTTCCGGTTTCCCGTGGGAGCAGGAGAAGCTGGAGCTCTTTGAGCGTCTCTCTGTCTCCATGTGTTCTCTCCACTGGTGGACTCAACACAGTCGAGCTTCGTACGTGGCAGCTGAAGGTATCCGGAGTGAGTGTCCACTTCCTCAGCTGTCCCTCCGAGGCCGCTGCCTGGGCTCAGACAAGACTGGAGCTGGCTAGGTTTCTAGCAACTCTGGAGTAGAGCATTGGACAAAATGAATCATTAAGGGAATTACTAACGTTAGTTTACATCCTGACACTAATACTAGTTTCCTGCAGTCTTCTGCCTCTTTCCGATGGCTGATCTAAGGCTCAGCAAAGGGAGGGTGGTGGGAATTTTAGGTCAAATGCAGCCATCTGGAAATAGGCCCAGGTTCTCCCTCCCTGTCCTTTTTCTTCCTCTCCCTTCTCTTCCCTTCCCCCTCCTCCTCCATCTCCTTTCTCTTCTCCTCTTCTTCCTCCCACCCTCCCTCCTTCTTTCCTTCTTTCCTTCCTTCCTCTCTTCCCACCTCAGGTGCACAGAATTGGGTTTATCATATTCTGTTTGTGGCCCATGCTAGGTCTCTCTTTTGCTTTGTTCAATTTTATTTTTCCCTTTTATTCCTTATCCCTGTTTCTATTTTTCTCATCTCATGGGCAGCTGTCCCAGAGTATTTAATCCACATTCTTCCACCCTATTTATATCTTGGATGTCCTTGGAAAATAAGTTGTATTATTTTGGAGCATGCATGTTTTAAATTTAAATCAACTGGAAATGATTTTCGTTGTTTCTTACTTATTTTTTTTTTCACACACCAGCATGTTTTCTGAGTTCTATGCATGCTACTACTTGTAAATCTAGCACATTATTTGAAGCTGCTTTATATTATTTCATGCATGGAACACATCTTCACCTGTCCATTCCTTTCATGAGGGACACTTAAGTTGCCTCCTAGCTCTTTTCTGCTACCAATCATACCATGATGAACATCCCGGCACACACTCCATCCAGAGGAGCTCTGTTGGAGTCCATGCCCAGGCTGGGATTACAAAGTCTCAGACTATATTCATTCGTAATTTCATCCAGTACTTCCAGGCTACTTTCCTATATCGCCACACCAGTTTTCATGCCCACTGACATTTTTCCAGCACCTGATATTAGTTTGTCTAATTGTTGATAATCTGATGGTTATAAATCGATATCTCTTTGTTATGTTAATTTCCACGTATTTGACGACAAATGAAGTTAAGCCTTGTTCATCATCCATTTTGGCTTCTTCTAAAATTGACTTTTCATAACGTTTGATAATCTTTTCTCTTCTGGAGTTTTCTGTCTTTTTGTTGTTGATATGAAGGAGTTCTTTATATCTAGATGTTAATCCTTAGTCAGTTTTAGGCATTACAAATGTTTTCTCCAAGGCTGTCAGCACTATTTAACGTTTGAACTCAGCATCAACTCTATTTTGGGAGGGTAATACTCTGAAATGTTGAGAAGGGTTTACCTGCCTCAGTTGAGGATAAATTTTGTAACAAAGCTTGAACTCCTTGCTTGTAAACTTAGTATAATATCTGTAATTTAGCTACTTGGAGGTCCTGGCAGAAAATATTGAACAAGTTACAATATATAGATATAATTCTTTTTATGCAATAGAAATGTTTCTGAAAGGTGGTGTACAAATCAAAATTTAACTGAGAAGTTCAACAATTAGTGATGCACTTTTATCTTTGTGGCATTTTGCAACACATCCAAAACAGAACAGTTTGAATTGTGAAAGAACAGCTAGGATGAAAGTTTTTGGAAAGTAAATAAATAACCTCCTGGTTGTTCATTTTCGTGGTCTGGAATTATGCTTCTGATTTTGTTGCATAGAAAGAGATATATTCGTTGAAATCTTTTCCTGGATTCTCTGTCCTTTCTAGATCATTTTTAACTCCCAAATCGCTTTCTTCTTACCAAAGACATAGATACATACAAAGGAGACTATGTAGCTGTCTTTCCAAAATAGAAATCATTTCAGGGCAAAGAGTGATAAAATTAATTCCATTTTCCCCGTCCTATGTCAAAGACAGGGAGATGATGGCAACAAAAAGAATTCTATCATCTCAATACCTGAGCCACTATCTTTTAACCAAGCCCTCATCGACTAATTTTCAGTGTAGGTCTTCCAAGCACGTTATAATTCAGTGGCTCCTAAATTTTGCTGCTTATTAGAATCACTGGGTATATAAAAATAGATAAAAAACAATTTCTTCTGCACAGCACAAGGAACTATATTCAATATCTTGTAGTAACTTTTAACAAAGAAGAATATGAAAATGAATATATGTACATATGTGCTGTATACCAGAAATGGACATATTGTAACTGACTATACTTTAATTTTAAAAAAAATGATTTAAAAATAGAATCACTGGGGAAGCTTTTAATAATTTCAAAGCCCTAGTCTTAACACCAATTAAAGCAGAATGCCTCGATGTGGCATTAAAAAATGCCTTGGAAATTCCAATGTTCAGTAGAATTTGGAAACCATTGCCATGCTCTCCAAGAGTCCAGGGCTTTATCAAGACTGATGTCAATGTCAGGGAATTGTTTCAGCTCTGTCCTGGGCACCACATGGGAATGACACTGGCTGAAACTGGAGTTCAGGCATTAAGCACCGAGAAGGTGAGAGTCTTATTGCTCCTGCCATCTCTCATCTTCCCCTGAGACTTTCAAACTTTCATAACTCTCCATTAACGAAATGGAAACAATAGCTATTTCACAGGTTTGCATAAAGACTGATGAAAATATGGGAAATAGTGCTGTGTGTGGCACCCTTCAAGACTTAAATGTTTTGAAAAGTCCATGCTTGTTTAGTGAGGACACGTTCAGGACCTGCCTTACCCAAAAGTCATTTCTCTTCTTTCCGAAGGCAGCCAAGCACACTCCCCTGCACGCCCCTCCCTTTCTGCTCTTTCCAATTTGGCCCTCCCCACACTCAGCTGGCTCCCTACCAGTTATTGTCTGCGAACAGTGAGACACAAAGGACTTTCTCAGATCCATGATCAAAAGGATATGTTACCTGGGAGAGCTACAGCAAAACGGAAAGGTGAGAGGATCCAGCGCAGAGTCAAGCGGGGTCAACAGGAGGAGAGATTGGGAAGGAATTGGGAAGAATGGATTAGTATACAGCTAAGGGCATATTGAATTGGGTGGAATTAAGGTTAAGACAACTATGGGAAAGAAAGTCATTCAGCAATAGGAATAAAATAATCAGGAATGGGTACTTTTTAATACCTTCTATATGTTTGGCTATACGTTAAGCCCTCTGATGGATTCAGGAGAAATAGATGACACACCTGCTATCAAGGAGATTGTGGAAGCCAACAAACACAAAACACCAGGAATAATTAGAGTTCAGTGCCAAACTCTGAGAGCTGAAATGGTCAGAAAGGGCTTTCTTGGGAAGCTGAACCTTCTGCTGGATCTTGCAGGGTTAGCATGATTTCATTAGCAGAGAGAAGGAAATAAAATATCCGAAGGATGGGGGAGCAAAGTCAAGGGACTGGGCTGGCAGAATCTGATTATCTTCTGATACTTTGTCTCTTCTTACTCTACAGGAATTAGAGCAAAAGATGTGAAGGACCTCTTACCCCTGATGCTACTAATGGTGATAATTTTCCTGTTGCTTCTGTTCTGGGAAAATGAGCTGAATGAGGACGTAGTGGCAATGACCATAGAGCACCTGCATGTGGACTACCCTCAGAGTGATGTTCCCGTAAGGTACTGCAACCACATGATCTTAGAAAGAGTCATCAAGGAACCCAACAACACCTGCAAAAAGGAGCATGTCTTCATCCATGAGAGGCCTCGAAATATTAATAGCGTTTGCAATTCTCGCAGGAAGGTGGCTTGCCAAAACCATTCCACCACTCTGTGCTTCCAGAGTGAGACCAAGTTCAAAATGACAGTCTGTAAGCTCACTGAAGGCACCAGATACCCTGCCTGCAGTTACCACATTTCCCCCATAGAGGGGTTTATTGTTGTCACATGTGATGGCATGGGGCCAGTTAAAATCCAGAGATATGTTGAATAACATGGGACCAGCACCTGGGTCTGCCATCTCTGGTCTCCTCTCTCAGAGGCACTGGTGCTGGCTCTTCCGAGGCACACCTGAACCGTGGACATGGGGTAATGCCTTGAGTGAAATGGGTAGCTGCTGGTAATGCATGTATCCTTCCAGTTTTGCTGAGCTGGCATCTTTTTTATTCTGCTTCAATAAAAATTTGCTGAATTAAACCATAAACTCTACATGTGTTTTAATTCCTTGTCCTTTTTCTTTGGGTCATTTGATGAAAGCCAACACTGCATCCCACATAGGACTGAGATGAGGTAAGGTGAGGGAAGGACTCACTACATATGCAAAATTTAAGGGGCACCAAAAAACCCCGAGGCATATAGATAAATATTTTTAAATAATATCTTTAGAAATGAAAATTAATTCAAATATCCCTGATGAACACAAGAGCTGAATTTTAAATCAAGACCCAATTTGACAGGGCTGGATTTAGGATGAAGCGGAGTATGTGGGTTGTGCCAGTACAAGGTCAGATCCTGTTATTTAAAATTTTGATATTTGTTCAACAGGGATTATTTTACATTAAACTGATTTTTAAATGTTGCAATAAAATATTATTTATTTTGACTGTTGGGTTTTTTAAATTTTGTAACTGCAGCGAGGACCTCATTCGTTCCACACTAACCCCAGACTTGATCCTGGATGTAGAGGCAGTTGGGGTCATGCCTAAAGATCTTCTCTAAAGATGGTGTATATAACTCAAGTTGTTCCTATTCAGCGGCTGCCTCTGAGCCTTGAAAGAAAGGGAAACGGGGATCAGAAGCAGCCTGATGGGTCAGAAGTCATTTCCCTGAAAGACTAGGAAGAAATGGATAAGGATTTCCCAGGGAGGGAAGGAGCCCCTCAGGGTTCAGTCTGTCTCCTCTTCGTATCCCCACAGGGCAGTCAGACTACCAATTCCTTTCTGCTTTTAGTTCTTACAGCTGGACTGTTTGTTTAGTTCCTCCTCATTCAGCTACGGGCAGAGTACCACAGAGGAAGAGGGTGAAGGAAGAGAAGGAAAGGAAAGAGAGGCTCCTAATTCTGGGGACTTGATTAAATTCTGTTCCTCTCTGAGTATCGGTTCCTTCATGCGTAAAGTGAAGGGCTGAGATCATCTTTGAGGTTCTCTCCAGGTCTATTACTCCTCAATTCTATTTCAGGTAGTATAGCAATTGGCCTTGTTGGAGTTGCCAGTGGGTGCAGGGATGGGGTGGGGTGGGGTGGTTAGTACTGGGGAGTAGTAAGGGAAAAATAGGGTAACTGTCAAGTAAGGGCCAGATTATGAGGTCACTAATTCTGAGCTACGACACATTAACCCTGTGAGAACCAGAAACTCACACGGTGAGCTAGAGTGAGCGTAGGCTGTGCACAAGCTTAGCAGGCCCTCTCTGTTCTGATCTTTTCAGCTGAGAGACTTCGACTATCACATTATTTATCTGGATTCAACTCAAGGTCAGGTCAAAAAAGGAGGTTCACCTCTGCTAGTTGTTAACTCTGGTAAACATCAAGTTCTAATACACTGATTAGACTTACAGAAGAGGGTGACAATCATGGGTAGAGGACACTTGGCAACCTTGTGAGGAGAGGCTTACCCCTCTGGGGTGGCCCTTTTGTAGCTGAGTTCCTTTACTCATTTCTCTGTGGGAATCCCATTGTCCCTGTTGTCTTCATGGGAGTTTGGATGTCACCAAGGAAGCAGAGCCCTCAGCATCTGATAGGTGCTGGGCAGGGACAGGTGGTCCCTGTCACACAACATGTTGGGTCCTGGTGGCAGCCTCATTTCCTGGGCAAAAGTAGCTGAAATGCGTCCTCTAGTCCTCTGTTTCTATGTTCTGAATTCTAATTCCTTTCCTACCCCCCTCCCTAGGTTTTA